GGGGGGGGGGGAGTGACTAGTATACTTTAATCAGTTTATATGGTATACCCAGAACTCTTGTGTTTCTGTTCTGTCCTATTCTTTAGTTGTATATTTTATTTTTGTGTATATAACACCATGGCAAATAAAAATACTGAGGTAGAACAGAGTTAAGTTGTAGGAACAATTATTTAATACTGATTGAAAACATTGAGTAGTATAATGCTGCAGACTGTTAATTGGTAAGTAAATATTTAAGTTAGTAAATAAGTAGATGTCATTTATTGAAGATATTAAGTTCCCATTCATGTCTACAGGTTTTATTGACTTTGAGCCTTTCTTCACTTAGTGTCAGTATCTAGGCCCTTTTTAGGAAGGTATTCAAATTTTATACATTTAAACTTCTTTTTTTCAAACTATAATCCCTTCTCTTCCTCCCACCTCCCTTCCCTTTCCCCACTGAGAAAGCAAGAATCAAATCCTCTATTACAAACATGTGTAATAAAGCAAAACAAAATCCTGCATTGGACACATCTAAAAAAAGTCTCAGTCTGCACTCTTGAATCCATCACCTCTTATAAGGAGGTGGTTAGCCTTTTACATATTAGTCCTCTGAAATTGTGTTTGGTCATTGTGTTAATTGGAGTTCCTAAGACTTTCAGAGTTTATTGTTATTATATTGTCATTATAAATTGTTCTTGTAGTTCTGCTTATTTTGCTCTGCATCAGTACGTACAAGTCTTCCCAGGTTTCTTTGTTGTGGTTTTTAAAAATTCGGTTTTATTTTCAGTTTTGAATTCTTCTCTTCCGTCTCCCCTCCCCCACCCAAGAAAAATAAAACCAGTATGTATAGTCGTTCAAAACAAGTTTCTGTATTAGCCTTATTAGCAGAGTGGAGGGAGGAGAGAAGAGAAGAAAAAGAAAATAAGCTTCAGTCAATACTCTTGAGTCCGTCAGCTGTCTGGAGGTGAATAGCATGTTTCATCATGAATCCTTTGAAATTATGACCGGCAGTTGTTAATCAGAGTTTGCTAAATCTTTCAAAGTGTTGTGTTTTGTTTTGTTTTTTTACAGTTTTGCTGTTATTATATAAATTATTCTCTTGGTTTTGTTAATTTCACTTTGCACCAGTTCATACAAGTGTTCCCAGGTTTTTCTTGATGCCATTCCCTTCATCATTTCTTATAGCACAATAATATTACATCATATTCTTATGCTATAGCTTGTTCACCCTTTCCCCAACTGATGGGCACCCCTTCAGTGCCCATCACTTCTTTGCCATTATAAAAAGACGTGCTATAAATTTTTTTTTTACATATGCTTCCTTTTCCTCTTTCTTTGATCTCTTTATCTTATAGACTTAGTGGTGGTGTCACTAGGTCAAAGGGAATGCATATTTTAATAGTTTTTTTGGAAATTGAAAGGCAGATTGCTTTCAAGAACCATGGCAGCAGTTCACAGTTCCATCATCAATGCATAAGATGCCTATTTTCTTACACCCCCTCCAACGTTTGTCATTTTCCTTTTTTTGTCATCTTAGTCAGTCAAGTGGTTATGAAGTACCTCAGAGTTGTTTTAGTTTGGATTTCTCAAATCACTTGTGATTTAGAGCATTTTTTTATTATGGCAATTGATAGCTAGAATTTCTTCTTCTGAAAACTATGCATATATTTTGAACATTTATCAATTGAGGAATGACTCATAAATTTGACACAATTCCCTTTTCTATTACAGATACTTATTAGAAGTTTCAACTTGCTGGAAAGATTTTTTTTCCCCAATTTCCTGTGTCTCTTCAAATTTTAGCTGCACTGTTTTTGGAAGGCAAAACCTTTTTAATTTTATGTCATCAAAATTGTCTATTTTACCTCCTCTGAAACCTCTCCACCTCTTGCTTGGTCATGAACCCTTCCCCTGTGCTCTTCTTTTTTGTTTATGATGTCACCCTTTTAGTTTAAATCATTTGGAGGCTGGCTTGTCTTGTGATATGAGATGTTGATTTATACCTAGTTTCTGCCAGTCTGCTTTCCAGTTTTCCCAGAAGTTTTTGTTGAATAGTGATGGCTAGGTACTGTGGTAAGTTCTGGGGATGCAAAGAAAGGCATTTTGCAGCATTTTTTCTTCAACCTTAAAGCTTTGGATTTTGCAAATGACTATATGTACATACAAGAATATGTGTGTGTATGTATGTATGTATGTGTATATGTGTGTGTATACACTCACAGAAGAAGAAATCTCAGTGAGAAGGTACAGTGGTAGGAGAAGGAAAGGTCTCTTGGGAGTGGGATTTGCTCTTGAAGGAAGCCAGGAGGTGAAGGAGGTAAAGAAAGTGTTCTAAGCATGGGGGCCAGCTTGTGAAAAGACAATTGAGAGTTGGAGGATAGTGTCTGAAATAGCAAGAAAGGCTGGTATTGTTTGATTATAGAGTATGTGGAGGGTAGAAGGGAATAAGGTAGAAGAGTCTGAAAAAATAGGAAAGGTTCAGGTTGTGAAGAGCTTTAAAAGCCAAAGGGAGGATTTTATATTTGATCCTGGAGATAGTAGGGAGCCGCTGGGGTTTACTGAATTAGGACGTGTCATGGTCAGACTTGGGCTTTAAGATTACTTTGGTTGATGAGTACAGGTAGACTGGAGTGGGGAGAGACTTGAAGCAGGGAGACCAAGCAGAAACCCATTACAATAGTCTAGGTGTGAGGGGATAGGCGCCTGTACCAGAATGGTGACTGAGAGAAGGCAAATTCGTACATGAGGATGGATGAAAGGGAACAAATATTTATTAAGCCCCCTCACTGTGCTAAATACTTTACAAATACCTCATTTGATTGTATTTGAGAAAGAGGATATTTGGTGTTAGATTTGTGAGGTAGAATGAGTGGGGTCATTTCAATGCACAAAGAATGAATGTTTGCATATACACAGAATAGAAAAAGAGGATTGCATATGAAACTGCAAATCACCATTGGGTCTAGCTTCTTATGTTTTCATTGAGGGGAGAGATTATTGTGGAAAGGCAGCCCACTTATCACTTTCAACAACAATTGCCAATCAACTTCCCCCAATAAGAGGGTCAGGTGCAGGAGCCCTGGGAATGGCAGCACCTCCCCAGACCATCGATCCTGCTTCCAGGCCAACCATCATCCAGGGAAGCAACTCCTTTGGAGAAGGGACCAATGGTCATCACCACTAGCTACCAACTGCCACCTACAGGGCAAGAAACCTGCCAGGGAAAGCCATTATCACCACCTTGGCTCACTGTCTCCCTTCATATCCTGATGAAGATATCCCAATATCCTGAGCCCCAGACCTTTGGGAATAGCACAACTTTAAGCCCAGTGCCCTCAGCCATCATCCTGGGAAGCAATGCCTGTGGAGATGTACACTGATGCTAGGCATAGAGCAATAGGTTTCTCCAAGGGCTGAGCTGTTATCTTCTCTGATGGTTGGGTGACACAAGGCCAAGTAGCAGAAGACACATGTAGCAGAAGGTCCGACTGTGCAAAGACATCCAAACCTAGTCCCTAAGAGGGCCCTAGAGCCCAAGTCCTACTTTCTAGTATCCAGTGATAGAAAGGGAGTAAATGGGTGCTTGGTGTCTTGTAGCCTCCACCTACCTAGGTGCTTAGTACTAATGGAGTGTTGTGTTATTACTATTGTTATTTTTTAACAATTTTGTGATATGGGGCATAGTAGGTAGTATATTAGCATTGTAGGTTATGGGTGCTAAATTTCAGGAGACCCAGGTATAGTTGTCTGTGAATCAGTTGCATATAGGCATTTTGAGTTCTTATGGGAAAGGTTTTGAGTTAGAGATCTAGAGTTCCTCTGTAGAGATAATAATTGAAGCCATGGGAGTGAATGAAATCATCAGTCGGGAGTAGATGCTAAAGAGAAGAAGGTAGGTGGATCCTTGAGGAAATATTTCCATTAAAGATTCGGGAAGAAGAAGGGGAGCCAGTGCTTTAGACAGTAAGAGAGCTGTGGGAAAACCAGGAGGCTGCAGTATAACAGAAGCCAAAGAAGAGAATAATTTTAAGAAGGAGGAGCTAGTTGGTACTGTCATGTTTCAGAGAGGTCAAAGAGAATGAAGACTGAGAGAGTTACTTTTAAATTGATTAGGAGATCCCTCGAAAGACCTTGGAATATTTTTAACTGATTGGTGGGGTTAGAAACTCAATGAAAACCAAGGGTTTAAGAAATAAATGAGTGAATAAGTGATGGAATCATTGGCCTACAAACTCATAGGCTGAAATTTGGGTTTATTACTGATTGTTTTAGCATATCGTGAAAACTTTACTGTTTTGTGGAAGTTCTGAAATTACTTTTTAAACTGCAACTTCAGAAACTATGAAAACTCCAACCTTATTTATTGCTAAGTGCATCAAGTTTGCACTCATGCTGGCATTCCATCACTGTTATATTTCAGTCATTGTCAGTCATTCAACAAGCATTTATTCAGAGCTTATTTTCTGGGCAGTATGGATACAAAAGCACTGCCACTTACATGAACCTCCAGACCCCTCAATAAAGTTTATTTTCTTAATATCCTCTATACACTCAAATTCAAGCCTATCTCTCTCTTGCTTTGCTTTTCCTTTCACCTAAAATGCCCTCCCTTTTCCTCTTCTCTTATTCCAAACTTTTCAAGACACAAATCACATTTCTTGTGAAGACTTCCAACAATCTAACTCACACAGATCTATGACCTCTTATAGCACTGAAGAGTTCATGTCCTACATTTTAGTGCTCAATTATATACTACATTGTTTCTAAGGGTATTATTTTTTTTCCTTGTGCAGATTGCAAACTCATTGAGAACAACTCCATCATACGTACGTTTTATCCCTTTTAAGAGTCAGCTGAGCACATCATAGTAAGCACTTAGTTGAATATTGACTATGTTGCCTTCTCAAAATCCTATAGAATATTTGATGAGAATTGCCTGAGATTACTTGTCTGGTTGAAATTATTCTGTGCATTGTTTTGATGTCAATAAAAATGCAACTTTTTTTTTTCTTGGCCAGCCTAGCGTGTTAATCGTAACCTACAAGGAACTGGCAAAATCATCTACTCAATTTGGATCCTACAAGCAAGTTGAATGGAGGCCAGATAGTACCATGATAGCTGTATCAGTAAGTAGGGGATTTTCTAGCTTTGATAGTACCTTCTTATAAAATAATTGTTTTGTGGTGTTAAAAAAAAATTATCTTTGATAAACGGCCTTCCTATAGCATTGCACATTGTTTTTAATCCATTTCTTCTTGAAAAAAATTTCTCCCTTTTTCAAAATTTCCCTGGCTTCTGTGGCACTATGTTTTCTAGGTTTTTTTCTTACCTATCAAGTCACTTATTTGTTTCCTTCACTAATTTAACCTTTTCTTCCCACTAGGCACTCTTTTCTTTGAAAATCCAATTTCTTATTACATCAGCTATTTTTTCTATAGAGATGAGTAAGAAATCTGCATTTCTAGCCCTGATTGCTCCTCTTGGCTTTTAGTCATACGTCATCAGTCTTCCAAACATCTCTACTTGAATATCTTGTCATCACCCAGTGCATTAAATGTCTAAAACCAATGTCATTATCTTTATGCCCAAGTGAACTCTATTTCTAGACTTCTCCATTTTTGTCATCGGGACCATATCCTACTAGTAATTCAGACTTAGAGTCTTAGAGTTGGAAAGGAACTCAGGGGTCATGTAATTAAAACTGTAGCTGAACACGTGTTCTCTCTACAGTATACCTATCAAATGATTGCTTGGCAGTCATTTGAAGATCTCCAGCATAGATGAATTCACTGCCTTCTGAGACAACTTATTTTACTTTTAGATATCTCTAATTGTTAGAAAGTTTTTCTCTGTATCAAGCTTAAATCTACATCTCTGCAACATCAACCCATTGCTTCTAGTTCTTTCCTTTGGAACCAAATGGCACAAATTGAATTCTTCTACAGAATAGCCTTTCAGATACTTGAAGATACCTACCTTGTCTCCCCCTGAGTATTCTGTTTTCTAGACTAATCATCTCCAGTTTCTTCAAATAATCCTTAGAGACTATACTCAAGGCTTTTTCTCTGTCCTGGTCTCTGGATGTTCTCTAACTTATCAATCATCCCTAAAATGGGCCCAGAATTGAACATAGTAGTTCAGGTGTTGTCTGACTAGTGCGGAATACAGTGAGACTATTACCTTCCTTACTCTCGGAACTGTTTTTTAAATCTAGGTCACATTAACTTTTTTTGGCTATTATATCGTACCATTGATTGGTACTGAGTTTGCATTTCACTAAAGTCCCAGATGTTTTTCACATGAATTGGTTTTTAGCCATGCCACCCTGATCTTGTATTTGTGAAGTTGGGTTTTTGAACCCCAAGTACAGGACTTTATATTTATCCCTATTAAATGTAATATAATTAGATTAGGTCCAGTTTTCTAGCCTGTGAGATATTTTTGGATCATGACTATGTCATCCATTATGCACTTTGTCATCTGTACTCCCTCTCTTTTCTCAAAAGAGTTTAAAACCTGTGACTCACAGTCTTCCTGTCCAGCACAGTCCTTGCATTTATGCTTAGGGACTTCATCAAACTTATTGATATCCCTATGAACATCCTGACTTCTCAGATCATAAACTTAATTAATTCCCATGACCTAAATCTTTACTTCATTGACATGAACATAGAAGTTTATATCACTGTCACTTATAACTGCCACCTACATAATCTTTGTTTCTGAAATCCCTTTCTTATCACAATTTCCTATCCTTTCATTTCTGCCTCATCTTCACTTGTCCTAAATATCTTTTCCCTCACTTTGACCTCTAGTCTTTCCATCTTTATCTGTTCTCTGCTGTAATTATCTCACTTTCTTTCCTTTACAGTTCAATTATTCACCCTTGCCCTGTTGTCCTAATCCATTCCTCAGCCTCGGGTCATCCCCACCATCCATCTTTTCTATGCCTACTTTGATTATGCTGCAAGAGTAAGTGATGCAACTGTGCTCATTGGATCCCATGAAATTCCTGTTTAATCTTAGTTGGGCCCTCACTGCCACATTGCAAACCATTTATTCTTCCATGTTTAAGCAATCACATTCCCTGGATTGACTTTTCCAAATCCTTCACTCAAGCTTTTATGCCTTCCTTATCCTGTCTTTCAGAAGGTGACTTTAAATCCTAGTCTATTTAAGGAGTCCATTAATTTCTCCATCTTCACATATTAGAACCCCTGCATATTTGCATCTCTTTTTCTTCTTTGTCTCTGAGGAAGGGATGACCAAGGATGGTCAAGGAATGAAGGAAGGAAATAAACATTTATCAGGGGCCTTCATTGTGCCAGGTACTATGCTAAGCACTTTACAAATATTATCTCATTTGAGCCTCACAACACCCCTGTGACATAGGTACTATTGTTATCCCCATTTTACAGTTGACCAATGTCACATAGCTAGTAAGTGTCTGAGGCAGGATTTAAACTCAGGTCTTCCTGACTCCAAGGCCAGCATACTATGCACTGTGCTGTCTCCTGTCCATGTCTCCAACTTCATCTTCCACTACTTTTCTTTATGGATCCTTCAATCTAGCGAAACCCATCAATTCACTATTCTCTTAACTTGATGTTTGCATGCTCAATTCTATGACTTTCATCATTTTTATTCTCTTCACTTAGAATTCCTCCAACTCTGTATTCCTCTACTTGTTGAAATCTTCCTTCCTGGCTCCTCACAAGTCCCCTTTTCACTTCCCTAACCACCCAGCCCTTTGGAATCGCTTCCTTCTATAAATTTCAATATTTTTTGTTTGTACCACTCATTTTGGTCAATCAACAAGCATTTATTAGTGATTACAATGTGCTTGGCACTGTACTAAATTCTGGAATTAAAAAGAAAGGCAAAAGCAGTCCCTGCCCTCAAGCATTTTCTAATGAGGGAAGCAACATTTTAATGATTAGGTAAATACAAGATATATACAGAGTAGAAGGAAGATAATATGAAAGGAGAAGGTACGCTGGGTGGAAGACTGAGAAAGGCCTTCTGCTGAAGGTGGTACTTAGCTGAATCTTGAAGGAGACCAGCAATACCAAGAGCTGGAGATGAGGGGGCAGAACATTTTAATGATTAGCATATGCTATCTAATACCATTATTTTTTATATCTATATACACAGATATACACATACATATATGTGTGTATCTTTCTCTCTCTCTCTCTCTCTCTCTCTCTCTCTCTCTTTCTCTTTCTCACTAGATTATTAGCTTCTTGAGACCAGGGACTGTGTTTTATTTCTTTCGTTATCCATAGGTCTTAGCATAATGTCTTCCTTACACATAATAGTTTTTTAAAAAATATTTACTGTTGATGAATTGGCTTTTTATAATAGAATGGATATTGAATCTTTTTTTTATAAACTATAAGTAAAAATGACAGGCATGGGGGTTGAATATTTTCTGAGATAATCCCATGGTTCTAATAGAGTCTAAAAATAACTGACAATGCTCAATTCTATGACTAAAGGGGGAAAATGTTTACCGTTATCATCTAATAATAAATATAGTATAACTTAATATTAACCCCAGATAAATAATGAAACTTAATCAGAATTTGTTGGCTACTGCAGGATCTCCTACTCCCTTAAATAAATCAGTGATTATCGCTCAGTAAGAACTCTTAGGTTACTTTTACCATTATGAAGTGTCTTAAATAAAAAGTTAGCAAAACTAAAAATAAATTAATCAAATACAATTTTTCTTTCCATTGCTTTTAATTTTAATGAGAGAATAAAGTTCACTTCTTCAGAGATTAATCTTAATCTTACCATCCTATTTGTCATATTTCTTAACTGTCTCTGATCTGTGTTAGTATTTAACTGCATTTTCCCTTACAATTGTGAATTTCTCAGGTTCCTTTTTTTTCCTAGACACTTTCATTTTCATGCAGATTTGATGAATCCCACCTCAATGTTTACTTTTGCAACTCTAAAATTGTAGCTATTAGAAATAAAGTGGGGCAGCTAAGTAGCACGATGGATAGAGCCTTGGAGTCAGGAGGGCCTGAGTTCAAATATGGCCTTAGACACTTGACACTTACTAGCTGTATGACCCTGGGTAGGTCACTTAACCCTGATTACCTCACCAAAAATCGGGAGGAAAAAAAAAAGAAATAAAGTGTTACCCTACAAGTAAAAAATAAATTCATTGTTATGAATTGCCTGCCCATTCTGACAGCACATAATTCTATTGTCTCAATATCTCTAATAGCAAAGAAATGTCTTTGGGTAGGGAAATATTATGCAATGAAGATATTCTATTATTTTTAATTTGTCTCCACATTTAGCGTAGCTTCTGGGAAGGAGGGAATGAAATTTGTTTTACAAAATTTTGCAGAATATTTTGAAGTGGTTTTGACAAAATCAGCAAAGCAGCTATTTTAAAAGCTTTCTTTAAATTTTTGCTTACTTAGGTACACTGAGCAAGTTGGAGCTAATTAAAATGTGGAAAAGTAGGCTGTGTCTTAGTTTCATAGTGGAAATACTAAAGAGATGTTGTAAGATAAAATAGTTTCCTGTTGGCTGGGATTTGTGTAGCTGAAAAATAAAAGGTTAAGTGAACCAGTAGTATGTTTGATGTGAGATATTCTGTAAAATTAAGGGAAACTGAAAGATTGTTGCTTTGTGGTTTGAAGTTTTCGAAGTCTTGGAGAATTCTCAGACTTTTCATTTCTCCTTGTCTGATTTGTACCTCTGTCTTTTGTCGTTCAGTCATATTAGTTGTGTCTGACTCTTTGTGGTCCCATTTGGGATTTTCTTGGCAAAGATTCTGAAGTGGTTTGTCATTTCCTTTACAGATGAGGAAACTGAGGGTTAAGTGACTTATCCAGGGTCACACAACTAGTGAATTCAGGAAGACTTACCTTCCTAATTTGAGGCTGGGCACTCTATCCACTACACCACCTAGTTGCCCTTTCCTTTGTCTGTAGATGTGCCGTTTATATTGTGTCTATTTTTCTTAGATGGGAGGAGGGGAGAAAGATGAGATGGACTATAGATAGATGTAAATAAGTACAGAATGCTTTTTTTTTAAGTTGTTTTTTTTTTTTAGTTTTTTGTAGAAAAAAAGTGGAACCTAAAACTTGATAAAAAA